AGACCCATGGAGGGTGCTCAGTAAGTAGTTGGTAACTAAAAATACAGTGTCTGCTATCCCTCATTATAAGGATCTACGTCCACTAGCTCTAGACCCCAGGCCTATATGCGATTATGAAGTGCTTTGGTGGTGAGCTACTCATGTAAATATGGAACCGACAAGGGCAAGTGAATAAAAATAGCGACAGGGCTGTTTACTGTAACAAGAATGTTCGCTCACTGTTAAGCAAAATCAAATGATTGAAATTTGGCCCAGCACAAGGTTGAAAGTTACAATCCAAGGCTATAAGGGATTAACACAGAGCAATTACAGAGAGGCAAGGGAAATATTCAGGTCACAAAGAAAGAAATATTAAAATGACCTCAATGCGGATTAGAGATGAGGCAGCGAATGTTTGTATAACTGTCCTGTTGCACTGATTTGGGCTGTAAGATGTGTGAGCACACATCAGGCAGCCAGCCAGGGATGGGCACTGCAGTAATCACAGAGCATGTTGCTTCCCAGCTGCAGGTGAGAGGAACTGGTTAATGGAAGCAAGGAAGTGCAATTAACATCTTCAATTCAGTCCCTCCAGAGTCCCAAACCGACTTAAACAGCCGCATCAGACCATTACCGTGCATAAATGGGTCATTAACGCTGATCACACTTCTATAAACTTCAGGAGTTGGCATTAGAGTCCATTAGGAAAATACACAGATTACTCAACTGCAAGTAGATGGGGTGACTGGTATGGCCGAGAGGCACTTAGGAGCTCTGAGGCTCATTAGACAAATAACCTGCTGGGGAGGAAGGAGGAGGATCAGAGAAAATAAAATTCCATACAATGTTTCAGGTTTTCATTGCTTCCTCATCTGAAGCCACGTGCTGTCTCCTGTGCAGCACATTTCAATCTGATTCAGACTCAGAGGAGCTGGGCTCAACCCCGGGGGTGGGGTAGGGGGACGCAGGCAGGTGCTGAAGTGGGGCCTCTGGTACTTCCTGCGTGTCCCTGGGTTGTTATGAGAATCAAATGAGATACAAGACTAAGAAATTATACCCGTTGCCCCACATACTTCCTGGGGCCCAAATACAGTGAATGTCTTCATGCTGGTGGGAGTATTACATAAGAATAGTACCAGGCATGCAGTAAGGGCTCGTTAAATGTTATTTATGTGCAGGGCCCGTCTGCTGTCAAGTTGAATACCACAGGGTCTCAGCTCTTGACCTCAAGGATCTCGAAGGCTCACTCTCCAGCTGTACGAGTATGATTTTATAATTATTAAACCCACCCGCCCTGTGGAGAGACGGTGTCAGTGGTGCCTGAGATTATCACCTGGTTTTGAACTTCAGCTTCCTAAGCTGGACTTGAAGACGGACGGCTGAGTCCATTCTTTCCTCGAGTTTGCTTCCGGTCTAGGAAGGGCCCAGCAGGATGCTCTCAGCTGCTCAGGGCAGCCTGGTGTCAGGAGGAGGGGCCCTGGACGCTAGAAGTTACGGGAGAGACACTGGTGTCTGGCTTTGCTTGTGAAGTCATGTTCCTGCTCTTTTCCTTTTCTGAGATGGGAAGACCACCCAGGCAGGGCTGAGTCCTCAGTCTGATGGNCGACATCAAATCATACTACAAGGCTACAGTAATCAAAACCGTATGCTACTGGCATAAAAACAGGCACAGAGATCAATGGAACAGCATAGAGAGCCCAGAAATAAATCCATTCACATTAATCTATGGCAAAGGAAGCAAGAATTTACATTGGGTAAATATAGTCTATTTAATAAATGGTGCTGGGAAAACTGGACACGTGCAAAAAAATGAAACTGGACCACCTACATACACCATATACTAGAACAAATTCAAAATGAATTAAAGACTTAAATGTAAGACCTGAAACCATAAAACTCCTATAAGAAAATACAGGGAAGAAATTTTCAGGATTAATTACATTGAGCAATATTTTTAGTGATATATCCCCACGGGCAAGGGAAGTAAAAGAAAAAATGAACATACATGATTACATCAAACTTTAAAGTTTTTTCTCAGCAAAGGAAACCATCAATAAAAGAAAAAGGAACCTTACTTAATTCGGAGAAGATATTTGTCAACAATATATCTGATAAGGCGTTAGTATCAAAAATTTATAAAACACTCATGCAACTCAACACCAAAAAAACCAAACAACCCAATTAAAAAATGGGCAGAGAATATGAAGAGGCATTTTTCTAAAGAGGACATACAGATGGCCAGCAGGCATATGTAAACACGTTCAACCTCACTAATCATTAGAGAAATGCAAAAAAACCCCACAATGAGATACTGCCTCACTCCGGTCAGAATGGCTATCATCAATAAATCAACAAACAACAAGTGCTGGTGAGATTGTGGCGAGAACGGAACCCTGGTGCACTGTTGGTAGGACTGCAGACTGATGCAGCCATTATGGAAATCAGTATGGAGGTATCTCAAAAAACTGAAAATGGAACTACCGTATGACCCAGCAATTCCACTCTTGGATATCTATCCAGAGAACCCAAGACACTAATTTGAAAAAATATATGCATCCCTATGTTCATTGCAGCCCTATTGACAATAGCCAAGACTTGGAAACAACTGAAATGCCCATCGGTAGATGACTGGATTAAGAAACTGTGGTACATTTATACAATGAAGTATTACTCTGCTATAAAGAAGAATGAAATCGTACCATTTGCAATGATGTGGATGGACCTAGAGACTATTATGTTAAGTGAAATAAGTCAGCCGGAGAAAGACAAATACCATATGATTTAAAGAACTGAATAAATGAGCACAGTAAACAGAAATAGTCTGAGACACAGAGGAAAAACTGATGGTTGCTAGATGGGAGGGGGTGGGAATGAGGAGAAGGGGAAGGGACGAGACAACATAAATTGGTAACTACAATACTGCCACAGGGATATGAAAGACAGTTTAGAAAATATAATCAATAATGTTGTAAATATTTTGTAGGGTGTCAGATGGACACGTCTTGTTAGGGAGACCACTGCATGGACGGTGTAGAGGNATTGCTTTATCCAGCAAGGTTATCATTTAAAATTGAAGGAGAGATAAAGAGCTTCCCAGAAAAGAATAAGCTAAAGGAATTCATTAACACCAAGCCAGCATTGCAGGAAATGTTAAAAGGGCTTCTTTAAGCAGAAGAAAGAGAAAAACAATCTAACTAATGAAGACCAGAAACACAAAGAACAAAATGGCAATAACGATACACCTATCAATAATCATATTAAATGTAAACGGATTAAATGCTCCCATCAAAAGACATAGGGTGGCTGAATGGATAAGCAACTAAGATGCTTGCATATGCTGTATACAAGAGACTCACCCCAGATCAAAAGACACATACAGGCTGAAAGTAAAGGGATGAGGTAAAATATTTCATGCAAATGGAACTGAAAAAAAAATGGAGTAGCAATACTTATATCAGACAAAATTAGACTTTAAATAGAAGAACATAATAAAGGACAAAGAAGGGCATTACATAACAATAAAGGGATGACTCCAACAAGAGGACATAACCCTAGTAAACATCTATGCACCTAGAAGCTCCTAAATATATAAAACAAATATTGACAGACATAAAGATAGAGATCAACAGTAACATTATCATAGTAGGGGACTTCAACACCCCATTGTCACCAATGGACAGATCCTCCAGACAGAAAATCAATGTGAAACAGCAGCCTTAAATGACACATTACACCAGCTGGATTTAATAGATATTTTCAGAGCATTTCACCCCAAAGCTATAGAATATGCATTCTTCTCAAGTGCACATGGAACATTTTCCAAGATGGACTACGTGTTGGGCCACAAAACAAGTCTCAATAAATTTAAGAAGATTGAAATCATATCAAACGTCTTCTCTGACCACAGTGCTATGAAATTAGAAATCAATTATAAGAAAATAACTGGAAAACACACACAAATACATGGAGGCTGAATAACATGTTACTAAATAGCGAGTGGGTCAAAAATGAGATCAAGGAAGAAATCAAAAGATACCTTGAGACAAACAAAAATGAAAACACTAAGACTCAAAATCTTTGGGATGCAGCGAAAGCAGTCCTAAGAGGGAAGTTCATAGCAGGGCAGGCCTATCTAAAGAAGCAAGAAAAATNAGTGAGCTGTGCCCGAGCTGAGCTGCCGCTGAGCTGCCAACAGGTGGCAGGATGGCTCAGCTGGTGAGAGCACGTGCTCCTAACAACAAGGTTGCCGGTTCAACTCCTACATGGTATGGTGGGCTACAGCCACCCGCAGCTAAGATTGAACATGGCACCTTGAGCTGAGCTGCCGCCGGGTGGCTGGATGGCTCAGTGGCTAGAGCATGCGCTCTTAGCAACAAGATTTCCATTTCGACTCCCACATGGGATGGTGGGCTACGCCCACCCACAACTAAGATTTAACATGGCACCTTGAGCTGAGTCGCCGCGATCTGCTGACGGGCGGCCGGATAATGACTGGGCTTGAAGCTGAGCTAGCTGCGTCCTCCACAACTAAGATTGAAGGACAACAACTTGGCTGTTCCCCTTCCTCAATTCCCCTCCCCCCAAATGTGGGGTTTTAGAAAGAAAACTATAACACTTAGAAATATAAAATAAGTTTGAGTGAAATGAGATATGCAATGTTCATGGAGAAACTGAATCATACAAAAATGTCAATCTTTTGCCAAATTAATTTGTTTATCACAATGATAATAAAAATCCTAATGGGATTTTTTGAGATATTTGAGAAAATGACTTTAATGTTTCTTTAAAGGAATAGGAAGCCAAGAATAAGAACAAACACTTTGAAGAGGAAGATATTAAAGCATTTTTGAGATACAATTAAAACAGCGTAGCACTAACCCGAGAAGAAATGAACAGGAGAGAATTAGGAAGCAGACCTTATTACATAGAAGTAGTTAGTACAGAGAATCATACTTATAGGGGGTGGGGCTCAGCTTGAAGAGATTTTGGTACCTACAACAGCTTTGACATCGCCTACTGATCTTTGTGTAACTGCTGTACTCACTCCTAATGCATTTAAGTGCCTTTTAGTATAAAAATGTTTCACCAAATTGTCAAGTAATTCTGGCCTTTCCAGGTGCCTTTATCTATCCTGTGCCTTTGAGCTCCCCCTCACCCCCCACTTGAGAGGCATATTTATAAGGTATTACACTTTGCTAAGATAACTATACTTGATAGGGGCTTTGAAAGGTCACCCCAAACCTTTGAGCCACCAATATAACGGACCTGTGATAGGAGAATTTCAGATTTTGGCCTCCTGCTAGACCACATGTTCTGCTGCCAGTCGCCTGTCCCATGGGAGGTTGAGCAGGCCGTGTGTGCCCCTCCTCGGTCCTCTAACCACATGGACAGACACTTTCCACGCTGCCTGTGACTCACGCAGCAGCTCTCTCTGGGGAGACCCTGAGAGGAGACCTGCCATTTCAGCCTGTGACCGTCAGGTCACCCACAATAACAAACATTTTTCAAATAGACCATTTTATCATACTTTATGCTCCCTAACAATTTTTTTGTTTTTTGTTTTTTTTTTTAAGCTGAGCCATCCTGCCACCTGTTGGCAGCTCAGCGGCTGCTCAGCTCAGGCCAGGCATCGAACCACTGTTGCTCAGAGCTCAAACTCTTGAGCGAGCTCTTAACCAACTGAGCCACTCTGCCGGCCCTCCCTAACAATTTTTTTAAAGAAGCAAACTGACATAGGGATATTTGAAATGAGGCATAACTTTTTTAGTCTTTTCCATTTACAACAAGTAGAATTATGAGACCTAAACTTATGGCTAGAGGTCACATGGTCTTCCTCTAAAAATAGTTCGATGCACATGTTTTTTTTTTCTTTCTTGAATCCAGTAGCCTAAGTTGTTTTTTACAATGTTTACATATAATAATACCACTTTTAATTTTGACATCACTTTATGCCATAGAAGAATGACTGAAGTGTTCAAACTAGATCTTTGGAAATTCAGTCAACAATTAAAAGTACTAGTAGAGAAAGAAGGTTGGTTCAAAGAACGCAGGGATGAAAGAATTTCCTGTTACCCCACCACACCCCATCTCCATTCAACTCTGTAAGCCTTGGCTTTTAGATATTGGATATTCCTAAGGTGGGGGAAGTGGTGAGGAGTTGACCTTTTTTTTTTAACTTCCTTTGTGATGTTCCTGGCAGAGTGATGAACAAATTCATATCTCTTCCCTAAGTCCCACGTCACAATTAATAATTAATGTGTTTCATCCTTGCTTGTAGAGACACACGAGGAACCAGATGCAAGAGTGTGTACTCTCATTAGCATGAGCACACATCTGGTTTACACGTTGTCCCAGCATGATTAACAGAGCCTTCTTTCACTCTTAAGGATCCTGGCTAGGGTGATGAATTACATGGCTGCCCTAACTCTTATCCACTGTTGTCAGGTTTCTGGGCCACTCCATTGTTTTTCTACATATCTGATGT